AGAGAGAGAGAGAGAGAGAGAGAGAGAGAGAGAGAGAGAGAGAGAGAGAGAGAGAGTTGAAAAAGTCCACGGAGAAAAATAAATACATATCCATAATATAATATTAATATTTGGCTGGGGGCACAAAAAAATACATGAATGGATGTATATAAATAGATGCAGATATGTAAATAGAGAAAGAGGTATAGAGGAGGAAGTTGGTTAATAATTTCTTCGTGCCAAACCACCACTTTCCTCTCTTAATTTGCTTCTCCATCAATTAAATTACTCCTAATAGTATTGCCGGCTGATATATCTACTAGATTCTAGAGAGAGAAACTAAACAAAATCTAGATTCTAGAGAGAGAGAGAGAGAGAGAGAGAGAGAGAAGAAGAAGAAATTAAAAATGGGGAGCTGCTGGCCGAAGCCCGTTGATAATCTCCCCACTACTACTAACACCAGAGCTCCCAGCCCAGGTACTTACATATATACATATACACTGTACACACACTACACGCGCGTGTGATTGTGTATCAAATTAATCTAACGGCCGGTAGTAACACGTGCTCCGTTTTGCAGTCCACAGTAATAGCGATGCGAAGACGATGAAGAACCGTAGCCAGAACCGTCCTCCGTCGACAGATCGCGGCGGCGGAGGGGCGGCGGTTCCGGCGAGCGGGGAGATCGTGATACCGAACCTGAAGGCGTTCAAATTAGGGGAGCTGAGGAGCGCGACGAGAGATTTCAGACCAGATACAGTGCTCGGAGAAGGAGGGTTTGGGACGGTATACAAGGGATACGTTGACCAGAAGACATACGCACCGTCTAGGGTTGGAATTGGTATTCCTGTTGCCGTCAAAAAGTCCAATCCTGACAGTGAACAAGGCCTCAAAGAATGGCAGGTTTGTTATTCCTCTCTCTCTCTCTCTCTCTCTCTCTCTCTCTCTCTCTCTCTCTCTCTCTCTTTAATATATTGAAAAAAAATGTATACTCTTTCAATTTCAATTTTCATGATCATTAGATATATGAGTATGAAATATATTTAAAATTTTAATTTCTGTATAACATATATAGTGGTACAGACAGTTAAACAATAATAAATTGGATGTCCATTTAAGTCAGACTTGGGGTTTTCTATTGAAAATCAAGAGCTTATTTATTCCTCTCTTTTTTTCTATTTTAAACATTATTTAAAAAAAAAAAAAACTATATATTTGTAAATTGAAAAAATGTATATTCTTTCAATTTTCATGATAATTAGATATATGAATATTAAATATATTAAAAAGAATTAATTTCTGTATAACATATATACTGGTGCAGTTAAACCAAAATAAATGGGATGTGCATTTAAGTCAAACTTGGGTTTTGTCGATTCAAAAGTCAAGAGCTTAGCTGATTTATTTATTTATTTATTATTATTTTTATATTTAATTCTCTTAGCTGGCGGTGATTAGCTTCACCTATTGTTGAATTAGAAAAATGAACTCATTTGCAAGTTGTTTTTTCCATGTAATTTTATTAGGGTTGAAAAAAAAAAACTTTTTTAATTTATAATAATAATTCTTTTTTAATTTATATGTTTTTACTTTTTATTGCGGTTAAATTGATTTAAATTGTAAAGTAAAGTTAATGATTAATGATTTCACGAAAAAAATAATAATTGTGCACTGCAGGCAGAGGTAAAATTCTTGGGAAAATACAGTCATCCAAATCTAGTAAAATTAATTGGTTACTGTTGGGAAGAAAGACAGTTTCTCCTCGTCTACGAATATATGCAAAGGGGAAGCTTAGAAACTCACCTCTTTAGAAGTAAGTAAGCCACTATATCTTCTTTTTTTTTTTTTTTTTCTTTTTTTGGATTTTTAAATGATTTAATGAATTGGGTGGTAAAATTGTAATTTAATTGAATTTGCAGAGGGTGGTGAGCCAATTCCATGGGATATAAGGATGAAAATAGCAGTAGGAGCAGCTAGAGGGCTTGCTTTCTTGCATACTACTGAAAAACAAGTCATTTACAGAGATTTTAAGGCCTCCAATATTTTACTTGATTCTGTAAGTCCTTCAACAACTATAATATTAAATAAAAATTGAATTAAATTAAATAATTTATTGAATTATAGTCGTCTCCGAATATATATAAAAAAACAAAACTCAGGTCCGGTTTGCGACTTAGATTAACCATGATTAATTAAATAATTTATTGATGTTTTATTAGTCCAATAACTTTCCGCATCGACCAATGATTGTTAAAAATAAACTGAAATAAATTTAACATTTTTATAGGAATTCAACGCAAAGCTATCGGATTTCGGTCTTGCCAAATTAGGTCCGGTGGACGGGAATTCGCACGTTACGACCAAGGTTGTCGGTACTTACGGGTATGCTGCCCCCGAGTACTTGGCTACAGGTAGTTTTTGTTCACTTTATAATTTCGGAAAAACCATTAATCATATTTTTTCCAATTTTACCCCTGATCACGATTAATTAGTTAATTGAAAAAAATAAAATAATAATAGGGGTACTTTAGTATTTTATCTAACAAGGGTATGTTAATTTTTTTCACTAGAAGAATATAATAATTTTATGTTTTGTTTAATTATTGCAGGTCATTTGTATGTGAAAAGTGACGTGTACGGTTTCGGGGTGGTATTACTGGAAATAATAACGGGTCTACAGGTACTGGATCTGAACCGACCCGGTGGGCAAACGAATCTGGTGGATTGGGCCAAGCCTTCGCTACCAGACAAAAAGAAGCTGAGAAAACTAATCGACCCGCGGTTCATGGGTCAGTACCCGTTTAAGGCTGCAATCAAAATAGCAGAACTCATACTAAATTGCATCGAGCCCGACCCGAAACGTAGGCCCGATATGGAGGAAGTGTTGGACAGCTTGGAAAAAATTAATACCATTTCGATGAAGCCCAACGAATCCAAGCCCAAAACCCAGCTGCATGCCAACCACCGCCACCACAGCCACGACGGGAGTGGCGGAGCTAGAGGCAGCGGTGGCGGCGGCGGCGGACATCGGCAATATAATAATTTGAATGGGGCTCGGAGTTATTGATGGATTTTGAATTGGGCTAAGCTTGTTCACACGTTTTATTTTATTTAATGGGCGTAGATATTCTTTCACAAATGGGCTTTTGATTTTTTTATTAGGCCCAAATTGAGTTGTTACTGTTTGATCTTTTTTTATTTGTTTTATTTATTTATCTGCTTCTGTAAATTATGTAATGAATCCAAAAGCATGAAAATCATATTATTTATTAAAGCAATTAAATAAATAAAAAATTCACTTATGAAGAGTTGTGTGAAGAAACAAGACGTTTGAGTCTGTACAAGAACGACATATTATTTAACGAGTACATCATGAATATTTTAATAAGTCTTATTAATATTCAAATGTAGGTTTCTGAAGCACATTCATTTCTTGTGTTATTTATTCTGCTAATTGTATAATCTGTGTGTCCACAGAAGAATTATCATTGGCGAATTCGAATCCACCTATTATTTATTTACACGAAATTATTTTTCGGTTTCTTAGTTATTAATTTCAAAATCAAAATCAAAATCAAAATATAATGCAAAGGAATTTGGCAATAATTGATAACAACATAAATTGTTCTCTACATTCTTTCTTTATCTACAATGTCAAGAAAGAGCAACATGCTCCTTAGCTACATAGTAATACAAACTCAAAAAAAAAAAAAAAAAAAAAAAAAAAATCCAAACTGTTGCAACAGAATCTTCTTGCAAGCAGCGATAACTGCAAACAAAACTTATATAATATAGATATAAGAAAAAAAAAACAGCTATATAAATTTTATTTCACTACTACAACGAAAAAGGACCTCTAAACCCGAAAGACCTACCGAACTGCGAATGCGAATCACAAAGAAACGAGAGCCTAATCGTTTGGCTCCGAGACGATCTGCACACGTCGATGCACTCCTCCAGGTCAGCATCACACGTCAGCAAAACCCATTCACCGTCGTCATCCAGATATTTCAGATGAAACCCCCCTACATTATTATTATTATCCACTCCAAATCGTCTCGATATTTCCCTTAACAAATCTCTGTACCTCCAATTATTCTGCATGCGAAACCTAATCGTATCTTCCCCGTAAGTCACTTTAATCCTCGGCCCATCTCTCTCTCTTGTTTTTTCCCCGTTATCTTCTTCTTTTGCCACCTCCGTTTTATCCGGCCAACAGAAAGACACGTGGCTGTGAGACCTCGGGAGAACCTTCGGTGGACCGTCGCCCGTCAGATTATTGAAATCCGCATCGCTTCTAGCTCTCTTGAAATTCTCTTTAACGGGTTCTTCTTCTTCCTTAGCCGTTGGATCTTGAGGACTAAGCGAAGAGGAATGATTCGGCTGTGCCCCGCTCGAGCAGCATTGACTCGAGTTCGAGCTCTGACTGCACGACGACGTGGGCGGCGACGGTGACGTGGCGGGGTTCGGGCCTGGGGGTCTCGAAATGGTGGTGCCCTCGTGGGGCCCATTTAAAGGGTTTAGATTGTCGGCCGATTTGGAGTGCGAGAATTGAGTGGTTCTTGTTGATGCGTTGGGTGAGGCTAATTCGGGGAAGCTGGAGTAGAAAGACTCGATTTGTAAGACGCCGGAGGTGCCTTGGACTGAGTCGATGACTCGTTGGATCTTTTGTAGAGAGTGGCCGACTTTCTTGATCTTTCTAGAAGGCCATCGTTGAATTCCGTGCTGCCTGCATATCCTCTTCAGAGTCGTAGGGCAGACTGAAAAGAAGAATCGAAAAAATTCCGAAGTTAAAAAAAGTTGTGTATTTCGGAATGTTTTTAGCATACATATGAAAGAAGGGAGGTGTTAAACGTCGTTTCAATCTTGGATTTATCGTACCGGTGAAAACCGAAATAAAACATTAATATAATTAATTAGTAGCTCACCACCGAGACTCTTTGCAGCATCTTTTAGGCTTCCAGCAAAGTGTTGCCTCAGAACCTGCAACGTAATCGTTTTCTCCGCTTTGATCCGTTTTTTCTCTCCAGTTTTGCTCGTGTACAGTGAGCTACAATCGCCCGACGTAGAAGCATTCGCAGTTAATGCTACGCCTTCTTTTAAACTAGCTTTTGAAGATTCGACTAATTTTTCCCTCGATTTCCCCTTTTGACAATTCACCTGACTCGAATAAGGCCCCAAAAACTCCTTCGATTCTATGTTAGGAACTTGATCGGGCAAACGAGATTCCTCTTGCAACTCTTTATCCGTGACAACTCGTAAAGTCCGGCAAACGTTTTGTATTATGGCAGACAGTGAAGTGAGCATCTTCTTCTGTTCCTCAGGTTCCGTACAGTTGATAGGCAAAAAAAACTCCAAGACGAAATCGGTCGAGCCAGTACAAATACTCCTCAAACGTATAGCTACAGCAGCTTTCAGCCCAAACATTCTTGCATGGTGAGAAAGAGGGTACTCCGTTTTACTACAAGCACTCACATCGGGCAAAAAACAGGGCTGATTCGTACCAAACGCTCTACCGACGATACCTTGCCCTCTTAATAAGTGGTACTCGGAGCAAGCTTCGTGGAAGCCTTGAATATGGGGGTTGCCTATGTGGCAAGCGGAATCGACCGGGGAGATGCAGTTTTTCAAGTTATCGTCGGAATGCCAATAGCCACCTTTGCCTTGTAGGCTGCATGGGACCCACGTTTGAGCTAATGGTAGTCCGTGTGTTTCGCATGCCGATCTTAATACGTCTAGGATTTCGGGTAGTGCTGCTTGGTATGAGAAATCGGGTGTCTGAAAAAAGAATCAGAGGTGTTATTATTATTTTTTTTTGTTGGTGCATTTATTCACTGACGGAATGTACATAGGCTGCTATTCAATTACCTTAACTGCCTGAGTGCACGCAACTTCGGCGCTCCTCAGATCAACGGCCTAAACGAAAAGCAAGCAGTTTCGAATTAGTTATTTAAATATGATTTTTTTTCTCTCGTTCAAATCGTGGAATGGTACCAATAGAATGTAATATACGTATTTGAACGAACGAATGGAGAAAGTTAACAATATAACAGATATACCACCACCAAATTTGTACACAAGTTGCATGATTTTTTTTTGCTGAGGATTAAATAATGTTACTTTCGTTTCTTGATAATACGTAAACGACGGCATATAAGTAAAAAAAAACACGAACCTCAAGAGCTTTGCAGACGCTTTCGAGTTCCGGGCGGTACTGAATCTTCTGCGTGGTCAAAACAACCTCGATAACACCCAAACAATTGCCACTGCCTTGTTCAAGAACCGGTACAGCAAGTGTGCCTCGAACATCGTACTGAAGCGCATGGTCAACTCTCGGATATTCGTCCCTCGTAAAGAATCGAACATCCGGGGTCCACTCAGGTACCTTATTCCTAAACACCCTCCCAGGCAACCCCACAACCTCTTTAGAATCTTCCTCGGCTGGGAACTGATAATTCACCGATATTTCTCTGTAATGAGCAAGGCTGGGACAGTTCAAATCGAGCGAAAACGGCTGGTTATTCGTGGTCAACACACGCTTGCCACCTCCATTGACCGGAACCCACACCTGGATAAGTACGTTTTTATCCCTCGAGCAATCTTTAATGTAAGCGAGTGCTTGAATTAACCGATCGATAACCGACAACGAAGGCCTAGGCCCAATCCACCACCTTTTGTTGAGTTCGCAGCTCTCGAGCAAATAATTCTCGGAGGAAAAACGGGACTGGGATATGGATAGATTGTCGGGGAAATACGATTTTTGACCCTCGTGTTGGCCGTATTTTGACGGGCTTGCGCTAGATTCGGTGTTGTGATTGGCGGGTTCGAGTGCAGGCCATGGGAACGAAGGTTGGAAGGGTGAAAATGGAGCTGAGGAATCGAAATTCGAGAATTCGGATCCGTTTGCTTCTAACCAGCAACCTTCTAATAGCAGTTCATCCATGTAATCCAAATCCATAAACGGATCCGAAGTGGGGCCCATCATTGTACTTAGAGGAAGAACACCTTGCTCCATTTCTTGTGAAAAAATAAATAAAAATCCAGTCTTTACACAATGCCACAAAAGCTAAATTCTTCTTCCACCAGATCTGAATTTCAGACCTGGATTAATTAATGGTTTCCAAACACCAACCCTGTGGAATTAAACAATTTTCGATATCAAGAAATGAAATTTGTACAGAGAACATGAAATCTGTAAAGGAAAAAAATGAATTCTTTAATATATTCCAACAAGTTGAATTTCTCCTTTGAGCTAACTATACAAGAATCTATTACATAGTTGAGAATAAATAAATTAACAAACAACAACAGAGTATGTGAAAACATCGTAAGTATGTAAGGAACAAACTAACTTTCACAAGATTCTTTCAACATGCCAAAAAGACACAAATCAATTCACCAAGATTCTTGCTTTTTTATTTAATTTTAACCTTTGCAAAAAAAAGGGGATGTTGAGGAAATTAAATCAACAAAAGTAAAAGAAAGAAAAAAAAAATCTGACAAAAGAGGGATTTAAAAGAGGAAGGAACTCACGTCTCACTGTGTGTAAAGATTCTTGGATATTCCAACAAAGGGCTTTAATTTCCTTTAATACTTGCAATAAATATCTTTTATTTTTGCATATGCCCCAAAAGAACTTCCTTCTGTTTACCTGAAGATGCAGTAATATTAAGCAACACAAAATGAAAAAGGAAACTTTTTTTTAGTAGGGTCTCAAGTACTAATATATGTACCACAAATTTCTTGTGAAATGAAATCCCATCCACAAATGAAAAAAAGGGTACAAATCTCTCTCTTTCTCTCTCCTCCCTCTCTTTCTCTCTCTATCTCTCTCTCTCAGTTGTGATTATCTGTGCAGAACTCAAAAATATGATTCTCTACAAGCCTATTGTGTGTTTTGTTGATAAGAAGGGGAAGATTCTTGGCACCAAGCATGTGAGCCCCACCCCCCCTCTTTGGGATTCCCGCAATATACGGTCAACTGTAATAAAACTGCTGAAAAAACCTATGATTATGAATTATGATGATTCCCTTTAAATTGAAAAAAAAAATAAAAAAATTGATCTTTCTTTTGATCCACCCACAAGGGTTTTTCAAGATCCAAAGAACTTAGATGAGAGAAGTGAAAATTTGAAAATACAATGGAAAAATAAATAAATTTAACTGTCGGAATGTGTGTGTGTGTGTGTGTGTGTGTGTGTGGTAAAGACTGTATTTTTATGGCAAAGATTGAATTTTTATTTAGCCACTTGACCATAGATTTAGTATTTAGATGCTTTGCTACGTTTCTCAATGGCAATTGGCAACAACTTGAGAATCTTTTACAATTACTTTAATTTTAATTTATTAAATTAATTGTTTTTTTATGTAGTTGATCGTGATCATGTTCAAGTGATCCAATCCCACCATTTCTTTGTGGGGAGTGGCGCTGTAATCCATTCTCTTTTTTTTTACAAGTAAATAAGGGTTTTAAAAGAAGCATCCATTTTTTATTATTTTAGTTTTTTTGTAATTTTTAATTAAAATTTATTAATTTTTAATTTATTTTTTGGTAATGAAAGGAGATCCAATTGGATTAAGGAAGGTGATGTCGACGACTAGGACAAGTGCGTGAGGTTGAGGAATCCAATTTCATTATTACTTTCTTAATATTCTTTTGTCATATTGTGTGATGGAAAGTTAATTAAGTACCACTTTAATTTCATTAATTATTATTTATATTTGGGGAAAGAAAAAGGTATTGAACATTAACAATTTGTGACGCATGACGCACTATATATATATATATATATTATATTACATATATACAGTGTACTTGTCAACTTGCTAATTTTGTATTTCATTTTTGTTTCAAGTCAAGAACTTTGTTTTGATTTTCCCAAATTATCATGTGATTCTTACATTATTTGTCCCTTAAATTCATCGACAAATGTTAAAAATAAAAATTACACTACTTGCAAATCTACTCAGCCCAATTAAACCACTTAACATATTTTATTTTATTGTATTTAAAAAAATAAAAAAAAACATTCACCAACCCCTAGTCTTTTATGTTGAGATCTACAATGACAACTTTAGTTAAAAAATAGCATAAATAAATAAAATCACAAATAATTATATTGCATCGTTTATCCCATATTTATAATTTCTATTTTAGAAATAAGAACCTCCTTTTCAGAATTAAAGTTTTATTGTCTTGTTGAAAAAAATAATTATATCGTCACCAACTCCAATAAAAAATTTGGGGATAAATGGTTTGAAAGTCTTTAAAACACAAATTATATAATTTCATATTTCATAGTTGATAATGAATGATGGTATCAAATTATCATATTTATTTAATACCATCATCTTCTTTACCAAACATATAAGTTGACATGTTACATAATATTTTATAAAGGGATCAAATAATGAACGATTATATTACATTATATAAAAGTTGACATTATATAAGTTTATATAAAAATTGACATTATATAAGTTTATATAAAAATTGACATTATATAAGTTGACATTGTTATATAACATTATATAATCAAATTCGACAATTTAAATTTCTGCATCGATTGTCAACGACGCTCAAAATAATTAGATTTTTTTTAATAGACCGTTGAGTCACCATAAATTACATCATTTGTCAAATCTGTCGGACTAAGTTATTAAAGTTTTGGGGACGAGGAATTTCGTCTTCTAGTACAAGAAAACATATTTGGTGAAGGTTACTCCCTCCGTTCCATTTTAATTGTCGTTTTTCAGCTTTTTAAAAAGATTAAGAATTTCATTAAATGTGTCTTGATTTTAGGAAAATGTATGTTTTTAGACAAAAATGACATTGTCTTATAATTAATAAGAGAGACAAATTAGTTGAAAAAAGAGTATTGGAAAAAGTTAATAAGGGTATAAACTGAAAATTAAGTAATTAATGAAATTTTGTAAATTTAAAGTGACAGATAATATGGAGAAAAAAAAATTCTCCAAAGCGACAGATATTATAGAACGAAAGGGAGTATTATACATATTGGGAATGTAAAATAGGGTTCTTTTGGGAAAGAAATAAATTAAGCCAAAATCAAATTTAATTGACAAAGAATTATATATTAGCATAACCCAAATTAAAGTCCAAAGCACGTATTGATGTCACAAATACCAACACCATAAGCTATATAAAATAATATTGGATCCAGCGTGCATGTGAAATTCCTCTTCAAAATATTCCCCAGATTCAGATTCAGGTTAAACAATAAAACTTAAATAACAAATTGCGGGGTACTTTAGTCATTTTTATGCTTATGAGTTGTTTTTTAGCTGTCTTGAAGTTTTCCTAGTTTTTGTTTATTACAAGGTGCAGCACCTCTCACTATTGATACAATCTACACAGAGGTCCTTATCTTAATTGCATATTTATTTATTCCATAAGGCTAGTTTGGTCATTTCATGTATTAAGTAGGGACATTTTGGTCATTAATTACTCTAGCTATTTCTTCCCGGAATATTTTCAATATTTTTTGTACTGCAACAGAAGTCATTTTGGGCCCTCAATAGTTCGGTTAGTAATTAAATGTTTTATTTTTATGGAGTAGGCCCACTAATTTAATTTATTTGTTATTTGAAATACGTCGTCGTTTTACCTTCACCCCCAGCCCCCACCCCCACCAAGTATCAAGCCACAAAAGTCTCCATCATTCAATCAACAATACTCTTTTACAATCCATTTATCTCCAAATCCATCCACATAAATTTAAGCTGATACAAGCTGTGACGTCGTTTTAATTTTTATTTATTTATTTATTTATTATCATTTTTTTTTTGTGTTTTCCTGGTTGAGATAATCTTTATGACAATAGCTGAAAAATCTTAAAAATAAATCACCAGAATACATTGAATTATAGCAACTATTTCAGCACCCACTCAATATCATCTAGTTTGATGTTTACTTGATCATATACAAAATTATTTTACTTACTGTATACATAATTAATTGTTCAAACATTACCAGCAAGGGTGTAGATGCAACAATATCATAGAACAACATACTGCATAATAGGCGAAGTACATACTTCGTTTATTTTATTACGATCAAGGTATAGTTTTTCGTTAAACACACAAATTTGTTCCATCGTATATTAGAACACACAAAAAACAATAAAAGGCTACGTACGTACGATCAACACTTTATACTAACAACTCGAGACCATCTTTTACAATGCTCTTCTTTTCCTCGGCCAACCGAAAACATGGTGTGCGTTCTCATCATCTTTACATTGTTGGCCTTACATTGAGACGAGAGGCGAGTTTCTGACCAAGAGACTTATCAGCCTGCACCATTAAATCATTATTACATGTTTAATATGAAATCACACTTCACATTTTCGTCTAATCGATCCTTAAAAACATAATAATATATTAAACGGTGAATGAATGAATGTAATATTACCTGAGTCCAGTATGAAATCCAGATACCGCGGATCTCATGGGTGAGTCTGGGGTCGGATAAAGCATCCACCCATCGGCGGATAAACCTCTCTTGCCTGAAAAGAAAATGTGAGGAACAAAGGAAAAAAATCGAGCTCTTTTTTATTCGAAAGTATTTTTATTAATGATTTTAAACCAAGTGCAGAATGAAGTACCTGTCTGTTGCCCAGGAACGGAATCTCACTCCAGGTTCCTTAAAGTTGTTCTCCTTCTCAATGCAAATCTGTTTAATAATGCAGTATCATAAGTTCCACACAGCGAATTCAGTGTTTACGACATACTGTATAAAATAATGATCCTTATTCCATTAAGTACCATAAAGGAACATTAGAAATCACTGAATAAAGATTTGATTTGAACATGGTTCCAATATATAATAATTTGTCAAAATCTTTCAACTTCTAAATGTAGAAACAAAACATCAAGCAGCAGAATCGAGTAACGTCAAATTACATACCCTATCACGCTTCCCTGACAAAACAACAGGAGGAATGGGGTGCCTCTCAGCATGGCGACAAGGATCATACCTTGAAGGAAAATAGTTCACCTGAGAAAAATCAAGAATATCAGACAAAGACATCCAATTGATTATGAGACGAACATTCAAAAGTTAACATCCAAAAAGTAATAAAATAAACTATATTTAGTACAGTACCTCCTCATCCCTATGCATGAAATTCATGAAACCTTCATGATGATTATTGTGATGGCCGTTTTTGGGGGCATTAACTGGGAGCTGCAGATAGTTCGGACCAAGACGGTGCCTCTGAGTATCGGCATAAGAGAATATCCGAGTTTGGAGCAGCTTGTCGTCAGAATAGTGAACTCCAGGCACAATAAGAGCAGGGCAGAAAGCAAGCTGCTCGTTCTCAGCAAAGAAGTTATCAATGTTCCTGTTCAACACCAAACGGCCAACTGGCTGCAGGGGCAAAATGTCTTCAGGCCAAGTCTTGGTCACATCGAGTGGGTCGAAATCGAATCTGTCTTCATGGTCAGGGTCGATGATCTGAATAAAGAGCTTCCACTCTGGATAATTTCCAGCTGCAATGGAGTCGTAAAGATCCTGTGTGGCGTGGCTGTGATTAGCTCCTCCAACCTTGATAGCTTCTTCCTCCAACAAATTCTTCACACCACAAGTGGGCTTCCAGTGGAATTTCACATAGTTTACTTTGCCAGCTTTGTTGATTAGTGTGTAGGTGTTGACACCAGAGCCATCCATGTGCCTGTAATCTTGTGGAACGCCGACATCGTCGAAGAGGAAAGTGAACATATTCAAACTCTCGGGATGGTGGGAGAAGAAGTCCAGAATTCTCCAATTCTCTTGAATGTGGGACTTTGGGTTGGGCTTCAAAGCATGAACCATGTCAGGGAATTTCATGCCATCGCGAATGAAGAAGACAGGGAAGTTGTTTCCCACCAAATCAAAGTTTCCCTGCATCAATGAGAGAGACCAGGAAAATTAAATTTAAATCATGGACAAAAGTTGATAAATTGATTTCAGATGAAAAAAAAAAAAAGACAAGATTTGAATACCTCTCTGGTGTAGAATTTTACAGCAAACCCTCTGGGGTCCCTGAGAGTTTCAGGGCTGCCGCGCTCATGGATAACAGTGGAGAATCGAACAATAACAGGTGTCTGAACTCCTGGAGCTCGAAGGAAATCGGCACACGTAAGGTTAGAAATATCGTGTGTGACCTCAAAAAACCCCTTGGCACTAGCACCTCTGGCGTGGACAACACGTTCTGGAATCCTCTCACGATCAAAATTAGCGAGCTTCTCTACCAAATGGTAATCTTCAAGCAAGATTGGGCCTGTAAATTAACAGAATTTTCCGTCAATGCAGCCAATTACAGTCCAGAAGGAGATGACCATCACATAAATAAAACACACACAAAACCGCAAAAAAAAAGAGTTCATTTATATTATAACAAACTGTACCAACAAGAATGCAACCGTAAATTAGATCTTAGCTACAGTAGACAGTCCCGGGAAGAAGTACGATAGGAATCTTTATGAAACTAAACGATCTATAAGCTGACCGTACTCTTGCAACTGATACATCAACTCAATAGGAAAGCTTACGAACAGCGTAGAATAGAAATTGCACATACAGTTGTATAGGTAAGAATCCAAAGGCTCAAAAAGTCCAAGAGCTAAGCAAGATAAAACAGATAGATATAAACTGTTTCTACATATATTTCCTTCCGAATTACAGCAAAATTAAACAACGTAATTATAACGATCGTGATAATAATAATGATTAGCAATAATAGCAAATACAACAAATAACAACAGCAACATAAAAAAAAAAAAAAACACAATTCCGTGAGAAAATCGAATCCTAAAAAATAAAATTACCTCTAGTTCCAACAGTCAAAGAGTTGTTATTGTTCCAGACTGGAGCTCCAGAGTTCGTGGTCATGAAAGGCGAATTGAACGCACTTGACGGACGGTACTGCACCAATCATCAAACACCAATACATCAAATTTCATCACACAAAATCAAAAAAACCAAATTAAATATCGAAATCCGTTCCTCTTTTCGGTAACAACCAACCCAAGCCATTGAAACGATTTAAGAATCAATTAGGTCACTCAATTGCATGAAGAGAAAGAAGAATTTCAATTACAAGTTACCGAAAACTCCAAAGACAATCATATAATCGGCAAAAAAAAATGAAATTAAACGACAACTCGACCATCAAACAAACGAAGATTAAAACTCAAATACAATCAATAATACCTTGTACGGATCCATTGTAGCAGATGAGAGGTGGAATTTTTGGAGGAATTGGAAGAAGAAGAAGAGAAGGGCGTGTGGAGAAGTGGAAATGGAGTTTTGAGGCTATTAAAAGGGATTATTATTTACTATTTAGTCATTAATTGAAATTGCGGTGACTTCAACGTCACAAATTTTATCCACATAAAACCATTTAACGATACTAAACTAAACTAATTACTTTCCTTTTTTTTTTTTCTTTCTTTTTTCTTTTTCTATTTTTAGTTTTTTTATTTAAAGATAAAGCATTTTAATATCACCGATTATTATATTATCTGATTTTTTTAAAATATTTATATGATGAATTGTGATAAATTACTTATGTTTATTATCTTATTTAAACAACATATATGTCAAAAAAAATTGCAGTTAATTGACTATCCCTTGTAGTGGGGAATTTGAATTAAATAAAATATATTTAAAAATAATTTATTAATTACAAGAATTGAATAAAACATATAAAATAATTGAATTAAATGTATATTATAATAAACTAAATGAGGAGGAGATGGAGTCAATAGTTTCTTTCCTTATCCAGTTTTTTGGAGTTTATCACCAGCTGATTTGTGGCGGCAATAAATTGGACCGATAAGATCTGGCCACGTGGGCATATGCCTCGATTTGTGTGATGGAGATAGAAGTATCAGGTAGAGCTATTTTGGACTGATTTACGAGGTCGTGTGAATGCAGCAGATCCCCTTTTATTTTATTTTATTTTATACATATATATATATTTTTTTTTTTGGACTTCTAGAATTATGTAAGGTTTTTATTTTTTATTTTTTGATGAATTTATGTTTAATTTTATACGGAAATTTTGATCGAAATTCTTCATAACAAAGTTATATTGCTAAAACCAATCTTAGATCAGCCCAATCCAATGACTGCAGCCCTTTAACTTGTAATTGATCCCCTACACACAGATGCACGACAAGAAGTTAATCGGACGGTCCCTGATTTTTCCACTAAATAGAAGGTTTGCATCAAAAGATGCCCGGGTTGGCGGGTCGGAGTTGACCCGATTGATTTCTGCAGAAACGGGTCCTGTACAAACGGACTATGGGCTTTCAGCTAATAAAAAGGCCTCTTCATTTGGACCAGATTTAAAACACAAAATCCTTGAAAGTTGAAATCCAGACTTGTACCCCTTTCCCCAAGTGTCAACTGCCGGAGAAGACGAAAATACCCCCATGAGGAGTTAATATAATTTAATTATCATTAAAAATATATATATTTTTTAAATTTAGTTTAATATTTTTTCACATAAAATAGGAGGTTATGAAAATTATCTTTCCATAGGGTCCCATTTCTGACCAAAATTACAAGTTCCCGTCAGGCCGTAGACGAGTCAACTCGATTATTTCGTTGTCAAAAAGATAAACAGAAACAGACCGAAAAATAACATATAAAATCTAGAAACGGGGGTAAAGTGGGAAGAGTTTCTTGATATCGGAACACAAACACGAGCTACATTATAATTTATAACTAACTGCTTATTTCGTAAAAAACGAAGACGAGTTGCAACGTACGATGATTACAGGCTAACTAACGATCTTAGTTTCGGATAGAACTTAGTACAAAAGGTGAAAAAACACAAGAGTGATAGATAGGGATCTGAACAGTATCAATATGAAGACCAAAGAAGCCTACTGATTCACTTCAAACCTCGTAGTTAACGTTTGTTTGATTGCAATAACTGAGTTGGTTTCATCAGATTGTTTGTTGGAGAAGATTTCCCCAGAATGTTCAGCGTCTTCATCCGCCGCATCTCACTCCCTGCAAACGAAAAAAGGCGTATTAAAGGCTTTGACTAAGTAGTTGGACAAATTGACACATCTAGCCGAACAAAAATGCAATAACTTATTTATGTCATGCAGATCGAATCACGTCAAGACCAAGTTTGACTTTATAATAATACTAGTTAACTGCATTCTATTCTTGGACTTTGTAGCTGATTTTATGGATTTAATCACTTCATATCTCAGATCTCAAGCTAGGTTAGAAGATACATGAACAAAGATATCACATCAAAGAAAATTAGCTACAGTAGAACCTCGATAAATTAATAACTTCGATTAAATAATAATTTCTCCCGGTCTCGACTCGGTGAAAACGTGTTAAATTATTAACTCAATAATTTAATAATTCGCTAAATTAATAGAATTTCCCTAGTCCTGACTGTATTAATTTATAGAGGTTTACATGTATCAATAATTCAATAGGTCCCTTTGGAAGAATCATCTGCCTTACACAAACTTGAACTAAAACTTCTGTGAAAATTTTCAAAATATTAAATGCCAACCATATTAAATACTAAACCGATCACCGGAAATGCAGGTTATTTTTGGTTTCATTTCATTTCCCCAAAAGAGTTTCTTGATGATTTCACTATATATAGCTCAAGTTTCAATCAATAATATCTAGTCCAATCACATTTGCATGCAAAATGTAATACAAACTTCCGACCGCTGACACAATCTAATCCCCAAACAAGAATATCAATTAGCAATTAAAAAAAAAATCAATAAAATATTCTGTACCTTCCTCTACGGTCAACTGGATTGCTCTCTTCTCCAATTCCACAGCGTGCTTGCTAAGATCGGAAGGAGATAAACGCAGAAGCACTGATACAAATCACACACCAAACAAGCATCATTAATTATGTCCGCGAAATAACAAACGACCAGTAAAACGCGTCGAAGACAAAAGGACTCACTCTGAGTGTACTCTCTCTGGTTAGCTTCGTCGCATTGCTTCAAAAACTTTTGTAGGCGAATGAAACGATCTGTTCTAATCTGATCGCCGTTGCTCTTCAAATCAATGCTAGAAACCTTACCCACTGCACTGCTATTATTATTATTACTACTCTGCTTGCCAAAAGAACTCGGAACTGATGACGGCCCACCACTTGGCAATGCCTTGACAGCTGTCACATTAGTTTCCTGCCGCAATGGAATTAAATTCTTCGGCTCTGAATAATCCGAAATCTTGTCGACGTTGTTCTGAAGTCTTCCTCTACCGAGTTCAAGCTCGAATCTCCTACGTGCATTCATCACGTTTTCATTCATACCACTGTACGCCTTGATTGTGTCGCCACTCGATTTCCCACCTAAAGGAAGTAAATCTTGCTGCTTGTGAGTTGCCATGTTTTCGTTCTGCACGTCTCTCAGTGCAGTCTTTTTAGGAGCACTTACGAGGAGTTGCTTATCGTGGGGGGCGAGGGCGGGGGCGGGGGTTCCGCCACTGACCAGCCCATTACCGGTTTGTTCGGTGTTGATCATTACATAAGGGAGATGTAAGCCCAATTGGATGCAGTTTTTGCCTGACAAAACCAAACTAAGCGCTGATACATATACATTAAAGACTCCATTAATGGAAAATGGCAGCAAGTAGATAGTTAATGCAAAGCCTGCCGGTTCAGGTATTTGACATTCAATCACAACAAATGAAGCATACTAGTTCCAGATCGGTGAAACGAGATACAGAATTAGCGCATCTAATTTCCGTCAATATTTTTTTTAATTCAGATGAACCAACTTCGGAAAACCCCTTAAAGAAATATGTGCAAAGGACGGAGCAAAATTGTTGTCTATAATATTACAATTGCATAGAAATAACCTAAGATTTAGTTCACTGATGAACTGTCTGCCTAATTCAAGAAACCAACGCCAAAAAAGGTTAAAAAAAAGTAGCTATTATCTCGGTTAAGAGTTTGTGCCGGGAGAAATCTGCTACATAAAGCTTCATCAATCCTTGTAATTGTTTTGAGGAAGAGGACAGAATTACAGAAAAAATAGCTCAAACACGTAATTATCTACCAGAATAAAAATAAAAGTAAATTAAAAATTAAATATGCGCCGTTACTTTATAATACACCAATTCAAAAGGCTAAACCCTTCATTTCTCGGAAAAACAACATCCCACAAAACCCTACATAATTCAACATTCCCCAAACAATTAAAAATTAAAATAAAAAATTAAATTAATGATTTCGGTTCCAGAAGGAGTGGAATTTGAAGGCCGGAATGGAAAACCGGAAACAGCTAAGAAGAATTAAACAGCAGTAGTTGTAATTGTATGGAAACGCAGGGAGACTCACCGTACGAGTGGGTTTGGAAGGTAGCAACAGATCGGAGAGGGGCGGAAGTGCTGCGGGGATGAGAGACGGCGCGAGAAGAGGGGAGGTTTTCAAAAAAGAGGGCGCTCCGCTTTTCTTTTATTTCCGTGCTGATTTTTTATTTATTTTTTTAATTCTTTTTTTAATATTTTTCACTTATTATCATTTTACCCCACCATCTATAATATTATATAAATTGAAACCATTATGCCTTTAAAATTCGATATTTGGCATCAATTCTAATCGGCACGTGTCACGCGCTTATGTATAAATACCCTCTCCTCTCACAAATGCTATTTTACGAAAGTTTTAGAAAATTCATTTTGGTTCAACTCAGTTTGGTTTCTAATATTTTGATATCTAATAGAATTTTGGTTTAACTCATTTTCACATTTTTCTGCAAAATCGTCGTTTTTTTCCACTTTTTTTTAATGTTTTTCGAGTTTTAATAGCACGTTAACAACCATATCCCAGCAAACACTCCGAAAAACAAAAACCATGACCACAGCTCGTGAATCATGTCAGATTTCGGTGATCCGACGTTATTTCGACTCATAAAATTCAAATTTTACTATTCTAGGAAATTTTCCGAAAATTCATATTAATTCATAAAAGCATCAGATGATGATTCCGTCAGTTGTGTTACTTCTAAAATTGCGAGGTCTATTAGAACGAGCTTGTAACTTATTTTGGCATTTTTTTTTACCAAATGATATTCTTTTTTTTGGGTTTATTGGTTATTTGAGTTTATTAGAGTATATTATATTATAATAACTCTCATAATATTAGGATTCTATTATGATTCGATTACCTAGATTAGTTAGGATTTAATTACCTAGTCAAACTCTATTACCTCGTATTATTTCTCTATATATATTCCATGTAAATCAACCCATAACATAATGGAGGTTTCTATTACGTATTAATTCTCTCTTTCTTCAATTATATTCTTCCTATATGGTATCAGAGCACCAGGTTTTTTAACCTAGCCGCCTTTCTTCTCGATGGCGGTGACCACCCAATTATATCCCTCCCCCGGTGGTGGTACTATAATATTTTTTTCTTTATTTCTATCTTTTCCATGAACACCACCCGAATTTTCTCCCTCCCCGGTGGTTCTCTATCTTCTTCTTCTTCTTCTACTTCTTCTTCTTCTTCTTCTACTTCTTCTCCTGCTTCATCTTCTGCTTCTTCTTCTTCTTCTTCTCCTTCTTCTCCATGGCCTAAAATCTAGCCGCCGCTTCTCTTTTTCTCCATGGCCGGCGACCACCAAACCAATTATCTCCCTCCCGGTGGTGATACTCTTCTCTCTATAAATTTTTTTCTATCATATCCATGAAATCCACCCAAATTTTCTCCCTCCCCCGGTGGTGGTAACTTATATATTTTTTTTTCTCTTTCTTTCCGACATCTTCTTCTTTGTCGGTATCCTCTCTCCCAATTCACACAAAAAATAATAATAATAATAATAATAATAATAATAATAATAATAATAATAATAATAATAATAATAATAATAATAATAATAATAATAATAATAATAATAATAATAATAATAATAATAATAATAATAATAATAATAATAAAAATAAATAAATTATTTTCTCTCCATGTTATTTTCTTCTTTCTATTAAATTGGCAGATATTTTCACCAAGGACTGGATTTTGCGGGTTTTCTTTCCAGTCTTCACTTTTGGAGTTTATTCGTTCCGACTGCAGGAGCGTGTTAGCAAGTGATTGTCCAGTCTTCACGTTCGTCACGTTTCGACTGCGGGGGCGTATTAGAGTATATTATATTATAATAACTCTCATAATATTAGGATTCTATTATGATTCGATTACCTAGATTAGTTAGGATTTAATTACCTAGTCAAACTCTATTACCTCGTATTATTTCTCTATATATATTCCATGTAAATCAACCCATAACATAATGGGGGTTTCTATTACGTATTAATTCTCTCTTTCTTCAATTATATTCTTCCTATAGAGTTTTAGTAGCACGTTATTACTTTCATGAAGTATAAATACGTCGCAATAGCTAAAAAAGCTAATATAAATTCGAACTCCTTTTTCGGTGAAGTTCGAATGTTCATTTCAGAGATGAACTCGAACAAGCCTTAGTCGAGCCGAAAGATGAATCGGGCTTCACATTTTCCCGAACAATTTGGTTTGATTTTCGTCAAATCGAATACTTTGTTCAATTTTCGACTCTAACTACAACTAAAAATAATCTATATCACTCAACTGAGATTTCAAGTCATCAAAAAAGAAAAAAAGATTCCTGAGAAATAACACAACACAGAAAAATATACAATTACATGTGTTTCTTCTTGACAGACAATTTACATTGTGTTTCTATTTACAAAGGTTGTCTCTCTCTTTTTTTTTCTTTAACATAGTATCATGGAATTTGTTGAGCCTGACTCATCAACCTAATCATTGACTCAGCTTTCCTCTGACCTCTCTCAGTTCCATTCTTGGAAACCTCAACCAAATGTTCATACACACCATACTGCAATGCTGCAAGAATAAGGTTTCGATTATTAGATCCGAGCTCCAACAAAACCGCGGTCGCGCACTCCTTATTCTTCGGCGTCCCTTCTCTTATCAAACTCACGAGCGTTTCTATAAATTGAAGCTGCCCTAACTCCTTCCTCCCTTCGGCGCACGATGCGAGAATCAGTAGTATCGAAAGTGTCTCGTTAACCATTTCCAGCTTTTCATCGACAAGCACTTTCAGCAACGGCCCCACGATTCCAGCTTCGATGGCTCGGGTTTTATTAGCGGGGTTGAGGCATAGATTGAATAAGGCGGTTATAGCGTCTTTCTTCCCTCTCATTGTACCCGTCTTTAGCAATTCGACCAACGGCGGAATCCCGTCTAAAGTTCCGATTTTGACCTTGTTCTCGTTCAGCATTGACAGGCTGAACAAAGCTGCGGCTGAATTTTCTTTAGCTCCGATGGACCCCTTTTCAGGATTTCTATATAGCAGGATCGGTTCTTCTTTCGACACGAGCTTTTTATTACAATCGTCGATCGAGAGATCAAAAGGGCGGTTACGGAATGTTCTTGGATTTTCGAATCGGGATAGGATAAAAGCTGCACGAGGAGTTGGATCCCACCAGCATTCGCAATCAAAGTTCGATTTTCGGGGCTCTCTTTTGATAAAAAACGGATCTTTTCAACGGCTTTTCTTTGTTCGTCTAATTTGCTCGACGACAAGTTTTGGACAAGTGTCAAGATTTTTGCTTCGTTTTTAGTGGAGTGTGTCTCTTCGTTTGTGAGTACCTCCTTCTTTGGAAGATGGAAGTTGTTTTTCTCACACCATTGTAGAATCAAATTCTTGAGAGCGAAGTTTGGCGCTAAGGACAAGTGCTCCAAGGTTTGCCCTGTTTTCGGACACGTTTGATGGTTCGAATCCAACCATTGTTGTATGCTCTCTCTTTCATATGTCTACACAATGTCCAAATCAAGTAAATGAAACAAAAAAATAGTGTTGTACAAAAAGTAAATCATACACTACAAATAAACAATCTTTCGAGTGATAACGAACACGTATTTTCACAGCCTTACACGCAAATAGTCATTGTGTTTGTCACTTATGGTTCGTCACTAATTCTATATAGTGACGATAAAAGAAGATTTAGTTGCAACAACAAGAAGCTATTAGTGTTTTTTTTTATTTATTTATTTATTTTTTTATTATTATTTTCTTGAAGTGATATATATATTCTAACGGGATGAATGAATGAAATATACCTGTCCAGTTGCAACAATAACGGGATCCGTCATGATCTCCAATGTGATAGGACACAAAAACTCATTGGGAACGGAAATCGAAATGCTTTTAGTAAGAGATTTAGGCTCATCGGGTTCGTCACAAATCCCGTTTTCTTCAAGACCGGCTAGTCCTTTGAACTTGTTTAGAAGATTAACGATTTGCTGCGTGCTCTCGGGGCTAAGGCCTCGTCTCTCCTTAACGAGTTTTCGAATGGCTAATGTTTCTTGTTTTAAATCCTCGCAAGTATGCAACGACAGCTTATTCGCTAGCCTCTCGACACTTGCTATATCTGCGTTTCTGTCGTTGTTTGTCGATAAAGCCACCATCAAATCCATCGTTAGCTCCATGTCTTGTGTGTCGGTTCTTCTTTTCGCTCTTCTTAGCTGCACGCACAGCAATTCCACCTGCAAATATATATTTTTTAATTAATAAATAAATAGGAAAAAACAAAATAAAAAATAAATAAAATAAATAAATAAAAAAAACCTGTTCTTTCTCTTCTTCGGATATTCGAAGCTCTTCATAAGGCATTCCTTCAACAGCTTGGCTTATATGATCATACACACCATGAAATCTCACCATCATCGCTTCACTTTCCAATGCCTGATAATTTGAAACAAATTTATTTTATTTTTTTCTTATTATGAAATTAACAAAAGGGGTAAATCAGTAATTAAATATAATATATATACCAGGTAAATCTTGCTGCCACGGTGGCAGAGTTTGAGGAGTTTTTTGGCAGATTCAACAGCCTTCTTCAGCTTCTTTAGACAAACGACTGCGGAATTGGGAAACGACGTCGTTTCGAAGTCTCTGATTTCGTCCAGAAATGGCAGGAAGAGCTTGAGCCTCCTGACGAGATTTTTGCACTCCTTCCTCTGAGTTTTTCTGTATTCCCCGATGGCTTTAACGGATTGAATAACGGCGACGATCGATTCGACGAGATTGTAATTATCGTCGGTTCGAGCGCGTGGGCTCGACGGATTCGACGGTGGATTCAATCCCTCCGTTGTCGTCTGATCCTCCTCCTCCTCCTCGTATGCTTCTTCTTCGTGATTGGTCACCATTTCTTAATTAATTAATTAATTAATGGAGTTCAAAAAAAAAAAAAAATGCTGTTTTGTTTTGTTGAGGGAATCGGAGAAGAGAAAACCCCTTTTGGCTTATACCATGAGTTTCTTCTATCCAATCGTCTTCACCGATTCTGCTATGGTTGATTCAATTGCTGGTTTTTCGGGTTTCGACGACTGATGAATGGATGGAAATATTCGGACACACTGCATTTTTCTTCCCGGGTTTTAAGGAACCAATTTAAACGATTATTATCTAAATTAGTTGTTAATTGTTGTTTAATCATTACATTATATTTATCTGGAGATATTTTATTAATTATTATAGTTTTTTACCCTTTTAATATTTTTTTTAGGGAAAATTGAAGCCAACCAAATATGATTTATGGTCAAATTACGAAGTTCTTCTGTTTGAGTAATTACAGTCTTCCCTCAACTATATATTATCTTACGAAAAGACCCCTCTCTAGAGATATATTTAGGGATGTTATTTCGGATAAAGCGAAACCGAAATTTTGGTACGGCATCATTTCATACCGTTTACCGAATTAAATATACGATTTGATTCGGTAATAACTAAATGACATACATTTTATGTAAAAATATTTACAATGAGGAGCGACCTGTAATTACCCAAACAAGATAGCAATATACTGAAGATAAGTGGAGAAAGGGTTGTGGAGAAAGAGGAAGAGAAAGACAGGTGGCACAGGGTAAAGCGCCGCCGTGGGAGCTTCTCTCGGAGGTTCCGTTTGCCGGGAAATGCTGTTGCGTGTGGGTTAGAGCACGGAGTGCTTACGTGGAGGTGCCCAATAAGGAGGCGCAGGATCAGCCGATCAGCCCAAGAATGTTAGATATATAGATGTCGCTTAAATCTAATTAGCGTTTCTATTTTTTCAAAAAAAAATCTTGGGTTTTTGTTTATATTTGTTTGACGTGGATGTATAATTAATTAATTAATTAGTATGTGATGTGAATTATTTTGGGTTTGATGCAAGTATAAGAATTACTTTATATGGGCTTTCAAGCTTGGGCCTAGAAACAGCAGCCACTTTCATAACCCATTTTCACTTTATTTTGAAGAAAAACAAATAGAAATATATATACAAAATTCGAGGGATTTTAGTTCGTAAATTTCTTTTGCCTAGTTTCGTATACAATTCAGTAATCGGTACTATACTTTGAAATTTTGTATATTGTATTTTCCATTTTAAGGCTCAACTCGTTTGGGCACTTCCTAAACATGCTCAAATCGGATCATATATTTATCAAGGTGCAGCACGGCTACGTGGAAATAGCCCACACACAAAAACCCTAAAACTCTCTATAAATGGAGAGAAAAAATTCAAATGAAACAAATTCGCAATGTTTTCAGAACCGGACCGGACACAGAACCGTGGAGGTATTTGGGTCACGGTTGGACCGGTTCAAACCGGGTTTTTTTAATTATTTTTAATTTTATTAAATTAATTAATTTTAATACTTAAAATACTATTTTCTATATCTTTTAATATTATTCGACTGAACTTCTTCAATTTTTTTAGGGTTAAATACAAAAACACCCCTGTACTATGGACTTTGTATCATTTACCCCCCCTTACTACACATAAATACAAAACCCCCCTCACATTGCATTTTTTCCAAAATATGACGAAAATACCCCTACTCAAGCATATATATATATATATATATATTTTTGTGAGCCATTATCCACCATATATTTTACCATTTTCAGTCAATTTTACGTTGAAAATTTTGGTATTTATACTTTTTTCTCCAAAACATCTAATTGCTTACATTTTTTTTTCTAAATAAACCTTTTATTTTTGTG